ACCCCACCCCGCCCCCCCCCCCCCCCCCAGTGCTTGATTTTCAAAGGGCCTCAACTACGTTGCCTAGACCCTCTGTGACCTCTACCCCCGCCCCGGGACTGCCGCGGCGGCTCTTCTGTCTGCGTGAGGTTCCCACAAATACCTGCGCGGTCCGCTCCTGTGCCTCCATCTGAACGTCGCCTTCACAGGGACAGACGGCCACTCCAATTTGCAGCAGCAAACCCTAACCCCTCTTCCCCATTCTGCATTCTATCATGTTTTCCTGTTTTATTTTTTCTCCAATGCACTCATTACCTTTAAATATTGTTCACTTATTTATTTAGTTATTTTCCAACTAGAATGAAAGCACCATGCACTAAGGGTCTCTGTTGTGTTTTCTGATGGCCCAGGGCTTGGGAGAACATCCTGACACACAGCAAGTATTCAGCGGATGCCTGCTGAGTGAGTGGACAAGCAAGCACGGTTCTAGTAAGAACCTACATTCTTTATTCCTGGAAAGAGGGAACAGTGAGAACTGGGGGCTGCAGGTCTTCTGCATCTGTTTAAACTGTGAAAATGAGGACATTAGTGGGATATAACAATGAGGAAATTAGGGGAAAATGAGAAATAAAGTATCTGTGAGTAAAAACAAGATGTAAGGCCGTAGCCAGGTAGGGCACAGAATGGAGGGAGTTTGTTTTGAAGATCAGAGAGAAAGAGGAAGAAAGAGGAAGAGGGAGAGGGAGGGAGGGAGGGAGACGTTAAATGACCGTGGAAAGTGAGACAGGGTGTACGGCGGAAAGAAGAGATTTAAGGATGGAAAAGTGAAGGTCAAACACAATTGGTTCTGAGAATGCTGGGCTTGAAGTGAAAAAGCATGTAAGTTAAAATATCCACTATGAAATTGTGTGAAGGGAAGGAAGAAGCTGAAAATGTAAGACTTCAAAGTTTATAAGCAGGGAGTTGGAGCAGTCTATGTCTATGTACTAAAAATTATTCTATGAATGTTTTACTTACCTGATCGAGGTTTGAAAGACTATGTGGATCTTTACTGAGAGTTTGGTACTGGCCCCGGAGCCTGTCACCTGCTGCAATTCTCCTGAATTTCTTGAGATCTACTACGTATAAGGCACTGCAAAAAAAAAAGGAACACTCCTTGACAGCCTATGCTGTTTGTGTTTCTACTTTCCTCCAGTTACTGCCTACAGCCACAGTATTAACTTTAGATCACTTTAGATAAGTCTAATTATAATGAATCCTTTCATAACCTCCTCCCAGTGTCTAATACTGTTTCCAGGGTGTCACCTCAAGTTTTTCTAAGATCTCCTGAAACTCATGGCACTGCAAAACACTAACAGCTGTAAAGACAGTATCTTCATCTTGCTCTGCGACAAACCAAGTTTAAATCTTCTTTAGTACTTAGGAACAGAGTCGAGCCGTATTACTTCTGTTTAACTTCTAGCTCAGCTATGCACTAACAGCAGAAGCCTGGGCCAGGTACGTAACTGCTGTGTGCCTTGGTTTCCACATCTGTAAGATAGGGATGGTAATGATCTCAAAAGGTTGTCACAGAGATTTTATGAGTTAATGTATGTAAAGTCTTATAAGAGTGACTGGCATGCAATAAGCACTATATAATTGGTTGCCACTATGGTATAATTTCCAAGAAGACTGAGTATTGTGATTCAGTAAGTTATTTATTTACTAAAAGGTAAGAATATGAATTTTCTTACCTGATATGGTATTTCCTTCTTAAAAGATGTGATGCCCAGTATCCTCTTTTCCAGAAACGATACCCATCCATTTCCTTGCGGCTGTCACAGAAGGGCGTGTACCCATAAGGAGCTCCACCCAGATCAAAGTCTCGAAGTTCTTTTAGGTCATGTCTCACAATCTGAATAATTAGAATAGTTTCTTTGATGAAGATCATAAATATGAGCCCTTTTTAAGTGACTCTCAAGTCATCATTACCTTGTTGTAGAAAGACAAGAGAACTGAGTTTTCCCCACAGTTCTTTCATGTTGCACAAGTTTACCAAGTTTCTAGTTTTTTCCTCTTGTCCTTACAGATTAAAAGAAACCTGTAATTTACATACCTAGTCTGTATGACAGTGGACTTACTCACTAATAAGAACAGCTTGTTGTAACATTTTTAATCAAGGTTTTTAAATATTGTTTTTAAAATGGAAGTAGAGTTGATGTACAATATTATATAAGTACAATATAGTGACTCAATTTTAAAGGTCATACTCCATTTATAGTTACTATAAAACATTGACTATATTCCTCATATTGTACAATATATTCCTGTAGCTTAGCTTATACCTAATAGTTTGTACAGCTTATGCCCCTCCCTTGTAATGCCCCTCCCCCTTCTTCCCCACTGCTAACCCTGAGCTTGTTCTCTATGTCTGTGAGCCTGCTTTTTTGTTATATTCACTAGTTTGTTGTATTTTTTAGTTTCCACATGTAAGTGATACTATACAATATTTGCCTTTCTCTGACTTATTTCACTTAGCATGATGCCCTCAAGTCCATCTGTGTTACTACAGATGGCAAAACTTTGTTCTTTTTTATGGCTGAGTAGCATTCCATTGTGTGTATATATATATATATATACTACCACATCTTCCCTATTCATTCATCTGTTGATGGACACTTCGGTTGCTTCCATATCTTGGCAACTGTAAATAATGCTGCTATGAATATTGGGGTGCATGTATTTTTGAATTAGTTTTTTTTTTCCCAGATACATACCAGGAGGGAATTGCTGGGGCATATGGTAGTTCTATTTTTAGTTTTTTGAGAAACCTTTATACTATTTTCCACAGTGGCTGCATCAACTTACATTCCCACCAAGAGAATAGGAAGGTTCCCTTTTATCCACATCCTCACCAACATTTGTTATTTGTACTCTTTTTGATGATAGCCATTCTGACAGGTATGAGGTGATATCTCACTATGGTTTTGATTTGTAATCAAGGTATTTTGAACAAAATATATTTTGGGAAGGAATTAAATATATAAGTACATAGCTCTTAACTTCTGAAGGTACAGATTAATAATTTAAAATCTTTTTTATGTTATAGCTCCATTATTGTGTATTGGCAAATATTAGTTTGAATCATAAAGAAAAATCTCCTGATTATTCTCCATGGCTTCAATGAAGTAACATCAGTATGCTTCATTGCTTAATAGACTCTAGCCTGCTGCAAAATATTACTATGTATATTGGGAGAAATAAGTTTTATGTTAGATGGTATGTTTGGCAATATTTACTTCATTACACATAGGTCTACAATCTTAGTTTTTAATTATAATGGTTCATATGTATCAATTTGGAAAATACACAATTTAAAATACAAATTATAAAACAGGATTTGAAAATATATTTTTGGTCCTAAATATAAACACTAACTTGCACATTTAATTTATATGACATTTATATTCACATATTACTATTCTTAGAAATTCTGTATATTAAAAAAAATTTGTTTTACCATTAATGTTACAAAGGCATGCAAGGAGGGAAGGGGAGACTCATAAACATTTTTGGATATATAAATTTTGACTATAAATTTTTTGGCCAAATGTAGGGCTTTTTCTTTAGGTGGTAGAATGATGGCTAAGTGCCAGAGACCCAGAGCTGCTGAAGGCGGAGGAAGGAGAGGATGTGTGTGATTACTAACTTTCCAGCAAGAAGAAACAGTTCATTTTAAACAAGTTTCAGCTCATTCAATTCATATAACTCCTTTTATTATGACTAACACAAGTATTTGTTTAATTACCAAAATACAAAAAAAAGAAAAAAAGAAAAAAAACCCACCACCCTACTACTTCAGAGGAAAAACTGCCATGTCCTAAGGAATAAATGGTACTTCTGGCAACACCTTTGATTTTTCCCTGGAATGCTGATGCTTTTCTTTTAAAAGACACTTTGCTTATATGTCACAATCATGTCATGTTTACGTAGCATGGCAGCAAAGACAGTAATAAACAGCAGCGATATAAACTGCGTCCCTCTACTCAGAAGTGTACACAAGTTTAAGCATTCCTGAAAACAACCGTTATCTTATTACCTGGTCAGCATCAACAAAAATGATTTTGTCCACTGCGAGAGGGAAGAGGACGTCAAGGAAGAGAATCTTATAACCCCAGATAATCCTCTGCTTTTCTGTCTGCTGATGAAGCCATCGGGGCCACCTGTACTGGACTAGTTCATACTGGAATCCATACTCCTTGGCCATGTGAGGGATCACCTCCTAAAATGCACACAGAAATCAAAGAACACATTCACGGAACAGAGAGTAGTTTTTGTTTTAGAGAAAAAATTAACATTTCAAAAGTTAGAGCTTACTATAAATTGTTACAAATGAACTGGTAAAATGTCTAAGTAGTACTTCTACAACTTACACCTCTTAATCAGAAATAGGAAAACGCTGACAAATATAAAAACACAACTGCACGTAAAACTATATAAAGACATCAAAAACAGGTACAGTATGTTAATTAGAAAACTATTAGCCAAGATAATTGTTCCCCTACTTTTACTACTAGTGTTTGACCTGAGAAAACTTGATGATAGAAAGAAAAGCCTCTGCATCTGGATCATCTGTGCATCAGACACTGTGACCATGGCAACATGTCGTTTGGTCAGAGATACGAAGATGAAAAGGGTGTACAGAGAACACAAAATGAGTTGTAAACTGATAAATCAGATTCTCTGTATCAGTTCCATGTTTGAGATTTATGACTACTTAATTCAAGGATTAAAAATGCAAGGTAGTTACAGTAGTATGAATATTTGACATTTGATTCAGTGTCTTACAGGCTTAGAGTATCTTACTCTGTTTAAACCAGAGCAGTTGGTTCAAGAGCCCAAAGACTGAGAGGGATGATGGAAAAGGAGGGGTAAAGACAGCACCTGCGCTTGTCTCCTCAGTTCTCACCTGCAGCTAGGTGCTGGTTTTATGTCTCCCTGCTTTTGTAAGAATAGTGTAGATTTAAATTATGTTCCTTACTGTAAGCACTGGTTTTATCTGTGAGTTGCAAAATGGTGAAATTATGGCTAGAACAGTTGCTGAGAATCACTGCTTCTGTTTCAAATTTTTTTTAAAAAAAATTAGGAGAAATGAGAAAAACCTTCTTATTCAACAAATATGTATTAAAAAATATTCGCTGAGCAAGCACTTTGTGCCGGGCAATATTCTGAGCTCTAAAGATAAAGCAGTGAAACAAAACATAAAATCATGGCCCTCATGAGGCTTACATTTTAGAAAAAATAAACAAAATTAGTTATCTATAGAAGATGGTGCTATGGAGAAAAATAAAAATGGGAGGGAAACAGAGTGAAAGATCAGAAGGGACTGTCAGTTCATACAGAGCAGCAGGAAAGGATTGTTCCCAGAGTAGGTAATGCTCAGCGACGATCTGGCAGGAGACAGGAGGTATGCTTTTTTTTTTAAAACTGAAGGGAAAGGATCTAGGGTGCTAGTAATTTCTGTTTCTATAACTGGCTGCTGGTTATAAGGTGTTTTAAGTTTGTAAAAATTCAAAGTTGCACATTTACAATTTGTGCACACTGTATTTCACTGAAAAAATTTTTTAAAGATAAAAATTTTGAGGGAGAAGAATCAATTACAAAAAGGGAAATATTATTTCAGACATAGTGTTACTTTTGGCCACGTAGTGGAACCAGACTTCCATCCACACATAGCACTATGTTTCTAGCGAATGATGTAATTTCCTGTTAAGAGAACCTTCAGACTGTATCACCTCAATTTACACAGAGTAAAATCCCTCTATGCAGTGTTGGATAACATGTTAAAATTTTAGTAACAAACTAGTAAGACTTCTTGTCTGTATCTGTGGTTTCTTTATTCAGTTTTTCAAATGCGTACAGGAGGCAGCGCTCTTGGTGGTGGGGGGGGCAGAGGAGCTACCATTTAAGGGTTAAGCACCCGGGCTTTGAGGTCAGGATGCTTGGGTTCATATCTCAGCTACTGATTAGCTGTTTGATCCAGGCCTGTGCCATAAGGGACAAATCTTACTCAAAGAATGGTTGTGCCCTTTGCCCGTGGCTCCTGGGAAGTAACTGCTACCCCCGGAATGTCCTGCTTGGTAAGAACGTCTTTATTTACTGGGGGACCTAGGCCACACCAGATAATCTGTGCTAACAATGGGATTTACGATGGAGACCTTGGGCCTCAAGACGCCAGCTCCAGCTCTGAAGGGGCTAGTGGCTAAGGGCAGCCACGGCGGCCGTCAGGTGGGTCTCTGTGGCCAGCCTCCAAAACAAACTCTGGACACCAAAGTTTGAGTGAGCTCCCTAATTGGCAACACGCCACGTGTACTGTCACAGTCTTGCTGGGAGAGCTCAGCTCTGGCCACGTGGCTCCACTGGGAGAGGACAACGGGAAGCCCTGGGTCTGGTCTCTCCTGGACCCTGCCCTATGAGTCTCTTTGCCGATTTTAACCTGCATCCTTTTGCTGCCATAAACTGTAACTGTGAGTACAACTGCTTTTCTGAGTTCTGTGAGCTCTTCTGGTGAGTCACTGAGCTTCAGGGTGGTCCTGGATGCCTCCCAACTGTGCAGGCCAGTTACGTAACTTCTGAGTCTTGGTTTTCTGGGAACAGGACTTTATGAAGAGCAACTGAGTAACGTAGGTAAAGTACTTAGCACACTGCCTGGCAATACTAGGGAACAGAGCATGGCTGCTGCTTTTATTTCTGCCTTCACCACTGGTTTTGGTCTAGGAAGAGAACGCCTTTGAACTGCTGCTGAGTGAGACCTTAACTTGCCTGGAATTTGATTAATAGGAAGAAACAGGGCACATTCTGTGGCAGGAGTAAAGGGTAACAAATGTTGGCCATTGGAAAACGTCTAAATATAAAATGCCGCAGACACTTGCCGCACTGCCCACATTACCACAGCAACCGATGCACTGCACATGACACAGGAGCCTCACTTTTCTGGGCACTATCCACTGATTTTCTATGGTGCAGTTTTCATATTTTTAGAGTCTACTGTTCCTTTCTTTGTAAAAATGTGACAGAATCTAATTCTTCTAATTGACAATTTGCACATATTTTTCATTGCCAAACTTTATTTAATTATTCATTATCATGAAAACCTACTGAGTTTACTTCAAAACAAAGCATCTCCTGCTGTCCTTTTAATTACCTCTTTAAATAGAAGTTGCACAGAATTTTTCTTAAGCTAGATAAAAAAATAACGAATACCAAAGTTTTAAATTGATTAAATACAGTACTTTGAGTAAATATACATTTCAAAAGACTCACTCTCAAAAGAGAAATGTTACGTGAACTTACAATTATATAAAGAATTTACTATTCAAATATTAGCCACTCTATAAAAAAATTAATGTACTTACTTTAAATGTCGGTGAGAGATAATTTTTAAGAAACCAGAACTTCACTGGTGTTTTGGTGTTACGTAAAACAGAAAGCATCATAATTCTGGATAAGAGAACAATAAATTCAATAAATTAACATTAATAGGAGTTCATCCTACTTCTCTTAAGGCTTTTAAATGTTTAAAGATATTAATTAGGAGTTTCTCACTATGAATTATGGAGAAACAGAGTGAAGTATCTTCAGATATCATGGCTGCACATCAATTATGTGATGCGTAAGAATAAATGTGTATATATGTATACCTGATATATATTAACTGATTGCTTTTTGTTTGTTCCACCTAACAAGAGAAGGAAGGTAGTCTGAAACAGTCTTGTTTAACTAAACTAGAATCTAATTTTGGTTCTATTACTGTGTCATTAATAGCAGGTGTGTGCACTTCGAAGGGCTGAGCAACTGTCTATATTGATACGTTCACTGGGCAGGTCACTTGTTTTTCCTATCCCGCATCCCTGAATCAGAGAAGACAGGGATATATCTAAAGTACCATTTTAAAATGTCAACACATATTCAAACATTTTTGAGGCATTGTCTGTGATCCTTCTATATAAACAGTTAAAGAAAATAGCCCTTTGTGTTTGTTAATACTGCCTTCCTCCTCTCAGTCTCTCCTCTTTACAGAACAAAGGAGGATTTCTTCACTAGAAAAGGAAAATTCACTATATAATTTTTTCTCACTTATCATCCTACTACAAAATTTGTCCATTTTCTAACCTTAAAGGACACTAACATTTCAAATCAAACTCATGAAATTTTATTGTATTTAGAAAATATACTTCCCTCATAATTTTAGGTAAAAAAAAAGCAAAGTGCAAAGCAGTATGTACTTTGTTACTATTTAGGTAAAAGGGAGTTAAAAATATATATCTGCTTGTCTATACATATCTTTGGCAGGATATGAAAATAATAAAATTGGTTTCTTGTGGGGAAGTAACTGGGTATCAAGGAAACAGGTGGGAGATTTTTTTTCCACTGTAATTTCTTTTATTATTTTGAACTTTAAAAAATTTTTTGGGCTATATAAATGTGTTACTTTTCAAACCATTAGATTAAAAAATATACCTACCTTAAAAAGCGTTCATATAAATGGCCAGAAGCAACTGAAAAGATGTTTAGAATGTCTGTTTCTTGAGTGTCTCTTTTTGTATGCAACCTCCTTGTGAAACTTGGAATAAAAAAGAATGATCAACAGTTTAATATACATCTGCAGACTTTACATACCTACATAAAATAAATTTGGTAAGAAATAAAAATAGGGATGCTTTTCATAATGAATTACATTGTAAACAAATACTTATCCTAAAAATTATAAATTTTTTATATTTAAACATGTGACAATTTGAAGTTTTATGATTTTTAAAAATGTACAGCACAGAATGCAATTATATTAATTATATTGTTTCTAGGTTAGTGAGGCAGTATCTTTGAATCTCTGTGAATTACAAGAGTTGCTTTAAGAACACAGAATGAGTGGTAACCCACCATGGCTATGTCTCATGTAAACAGGCCAACAGTGAGGGAAGAAACAGAACATGAAGTATTAACTGTGGCGATTTCTCGTATGTGGTGACAGCGTAGATCCTTGAGTGCTGCGACACAGAGTCCCCAGGATAAAATGTTGTAAAAGGCGCCTGCAGCTCAGAGCCCCTCTGGTGGGGAAGCCTCCGTTCCACGTAGGCTAGAGGCTTCTGTACCGTGGGTGCCCCTGCACAAGGAGTAAGACAGCACCAGGGAGCCACGTCCGCACACTGGTTTCTATCACAAAAGCTTCATCCGGGCCCGGCTGTCACTGTCACTAATTTCTGGACCCAGACCAGACTTTGATATGCCCCATCTCATACACAAAAGTGACTGAATCTTTTATCTGGGGTATTTATAATGTATCATTTCTTCTTTTTCCTATTTAAAATTTTTATTTAAATAAAAATCTCAATTTTATATACACAGATATTTACAATGACTAAAATTTGGAAAGCTAAATAATTCACAATCAACATGGAATATATTCTGCCAAATAGGAATTGTTATACAGAGATATTTTTTCACAACTATTTTCATTGTAATCCCCTAAATAAGAAAAATACACAGTCGACTCAGGGAGGAAAAAAAAATCACTCTAAGTTAGGATTAAAAACAAGACAAAAGAAGTGAGAACAGTGTAATGTACAAAATACTCATGTATCTGGAGGAGCTACCATTCCCTAAACTTACCTGCTCTCTCTTCCTAATGAAGCATTATTTGGTTTTGGTTTCTCATCTGTAGAGTAAGTGGCAATGCCATAGTTTAACAGTTACCTTTATTCCTTTCAGTCTGTACCGTCTGGTTCTGATGGAAGGTCATGGACAGACAGACACTCTTTAACATGCCCAGGCTCTGCTTCATCATCCCCTGTCAAACATACCTACTCTCCAAATCATCTCAAAGTGAGTGAATCTGAGCCTTTCTCAGTCAGTAACCAGTTCAACCCTGGCACATCCTGGAACAGTAACATGATTCTTACCAAGTAAGGGGTCAACTATAGAAAAAGAGACCTAAACTGGGCAAAATCCAAAATGATGAGAATCCAGAATGTGATTGGTGTAACAAAATCTGCCTAAAATTTCTATTTCTTATCCTTGATAAAAATGATCAATAGTTCTCCATCATAGTTCAAATTAAGTTCAAATCTCTAAAATGGACTTTCAGAGTCTCTATAATCTGGATCTACAGCAGACCTTTTTTTTTTTTTTGCCCACTTAACACCCTTTACACTTCTAGTCACAATAACCTGGTACTGTGGGTGAGTGGGCGGATAACCATCCCTCCTCTAATTTCATTCTCCGAAGTTCCGGTGGGGCGGGCCTTCTCCCTAGCGCCAGAGGCAGGCACGTGACCCAAGCTTAGGTGATTAGAGTCACAAGGGTCAGTCCAGTCTGGCATATGTGGCTATAGCTGGACCAATGAGTCAGCCTTGGAACTTGGCTGGTACTATTTGGAAAGAGGCAATTTTCTCCCACTGGAGATGGCAAGTTTTTTCCTTGTAAAAGTTAGTCTGAAAATGAAGGAGGCAGAAATAATAGAACTAGGAGATGGAGAAAGAATTTCTGGACCACATCACCGGAATGCCCAAAGTCAGCTCTGCCCTGGACTCTTTAGGTATGTGAGCCAATATACGCGCGCGCGTGCGTGTACTCCTTTTAAATTGAATATAGGTCCCAGTCTAACTTAGAGATTCCCCATTATAGGCAATATCCCAGCCAACCTGGGCTACTTCCTGCTCCTTGAGGAACATACCCAATCTTTCTGACTTCACATAACCAGGTACCCTCATTCTGTTTCCTGTCCACCCTTTAGAACACGCTTCTCCAAAGAGTCTTTTCTGAGGTTCCCCCTAACTGGATATAGCCTTTCTCTCCTTTGGTTTGAACAGCACTTTATGTTCAGCTGTCTTACAGCTCCAGTTTGCTATCTTGTATTATGAACATTTATGTATTTGCGTTATCCCTTCTAGAGAAGATCTGTGCTTGACTTCAAAGTTTACCATCTGCAGGGCATCCATGTACTAGACTCCTGGTGAATTTATAGTTACATGTTAAAATACTCATTAGTAATTACCTTTTAATGGAATCCCACATTCCTTTTTTTTTTTCTTCATTTTTACTGGAAAGGACATCTTCCTTAATTTTGTCTGGCTTTTTTTGCACCTAGATAGCATGGTTAAAGAAAAACTTTACAATTTTGTAGCTTTAAATATTATGCTGCGTAGTTAGAAATATATTAGGTAAGGTGATGGTTGTAAATCTAAGATAGTTATAGTAAATAAAGCCAAGAAAGATCTTAGTACATTATAGACACAATCTAGTTTCAACTATCAGTTCAACCTCTTGTTTTTAGTTCTTCTGGTGGTTATCTCCATACTCCTGAATAATGTTCTTAAACTTGTAATTACTGAATTTTCAGCTTGGAATGTTACTGACTATTTATCTGGACATTATTCATTCGTGGTAATGAAAGGCGAGTAGCTTATTTATACCATCCCTCCCCCACCTCTTTGTCAGGGAAGGTTTCAGTAATACTATTTTTATCATTAGTTCAACTGAGTATTTTCATAAGTTGAATTAATATTTAAATCTATTTTTTTTATTCCAACAAATTTAAGTTTCTCTTGCATACCCTATTACAAAGATACTAACATCTACCTTCTCCCTCTGCCTCCCAGCTTATGTTAGCTAAACCTTTACTGTAGCATGGTAAATGTAGGCAATGTTTAGTTTGGTAAACACAATTACATCTTTGCACTGTGCTATTTTTATTCTGCAACTTGACAATCAGCAAAAAGTGCTTATTGTGACAACGTAAGCACCGCTCACTGAAGAGTCTGAAAGGCCACCACCACTGCCTTCCCCCCGCAGGTTACGACAACGTGCCCACCGTGCTGCTCCTGGGAGGCTCTCCCCGCTGCACACGCATTCTGCTTTTTCACATTTCACCGAGAGAGAAGTATTTTTTTTCTTGCAACTTTACTGATTTTTTTCTGGTGGTGAGATATGTTTCTTCTTTGCCACGTACCTAGTATTTTCCAGTTTATTATTCAAGTTACTTAGCTGTCTGGAACTCTTGTCTTCTTGAAGGCATTTTTCTTGGAGCTTAGCAATTCACTGCCTGTCCCTCTCAAGCTTTCTTCGTATTAGAGTTCTGATTAATTTCACCACTTCCTGCGATACCTATTTTCTTCTCTCCTGCTATTCATCTTCATTGTGCTGACAAACACCTTCAAGAAGGGGTATGAAAAAGTAATTTTTCTAATCTTCATGCTTCAGAGAATAACTTCATTTTGCCTTCATATTTGATTAAGAATTTGCCTAAAGAATCCTAGGTTCAAAATAATCTTCTTCAAAACATTAAAATCTTCGTTTTGCTGTCTTGAGAATGAAGTGTCTGATGCTAGTGTTAGTCTCATTCTATTGCAGTGACCTGCCTTTTCTCCCTGAGTTTTTTTTTTTTGACAGGTTGAGGACCCCTTTAATTCCAAAAATTCATTCACCTAAGAAAGTAAATCAGAACATCTCTGCAAAAAGCTTTCTCCCTGGATCTTATGGGCCATTTTTATTAGATTGATTCTAATTTGTGGACCCTCTGACGTAAACGTTTTTATCCTTATTTGTGGGAAACTTTCCTTCCTCTATTTTCTGTTTTTCCTTTCTGGAATTCCTAATCGTGGGCCACTGGGGTTCATGGGCTGATCTTTTAGGTTGTCTATCTCTTCTCCTTTTTCCCTGTCCTTTGGCGTAATTCTGAGAGGAGGATGGTGAGGAGATAAAACTGTGTCATTAGAAGACAACTGAAGGACCTAGGTATGATTAGGCTGTAGAATGTTTGCTTCAGGTAGGGCATGACTATTACCCTCAAAGACCTGATGGCTTTGGTCAAAGAGTCAGATATGCTCTATACCAGGGATGAACAGGTCAAATTAGAGCCAATACAGAGAGTGAAAAAATTCAGTTCAAGAAAAAGAAACAACTTTTCAGTGGTCAAAATTCCTCAAATATAAAATACCCCATTCTCCCAGTGGAAACAGTACTTTTCTGTCCTGTTTGCAGGGCTGGGATAAAGCTAGCTGGAATGCTGGTCTTAAAGGGCTTGAGTCTACTTAGTAACTTAAGTGGCCGGTCTGGGTTTGTGGGGTTTTTCATCTGGAATGGCCAGAAGCAAAAGCGCCAAGGACAGAGTATAGGTTATTGCTGAGAAAGGAAGCCAAGGTCAAACAGGAAAAAGTATCAAAGGTGAGTGTGAGCGACACGTATAACTGATCACTGGATAAACAGCAGGGCTGACAAGGAACAGCTTATGATGTGGGATGCAGGGCAGAATCTGATGACTTGGAGGTTCAGGGTCTCTGCAGTACGTAACGAGAGGGCTCTGGCAGCCTACTGGTACTAGACCACAGAGATCCTGACTTACGTGGGTGTTTCCTAGTTATCTCTGGATATTGGTTTCTCCTTTCCTGCACTGCAGACAGAGACATACTCTATATGACTTCCTTTGTCTGAAATCTGTTGAAACTTTCAATTAAATGTAGACTAATTTTTATTAATGTTTTCTGTGTGTTTGAAAGACTGTTCACTGTGTTACTGGGTATTGTGTTCTACATACATCCATTAGGTCAAGATTTATAACCACACTGCTCAAATCCTTACTGAGCTTTTGGTCTGCCTGCTGTATCAAGTACTGAGAGACGAATGTTAAAAATATCCTGGAATATTAGAGAATTGTCAGCTTCTCTTGGTAATTCTATTTCTATTATACATATAAAGCAACCTTCTTTATCTTTAGTAACGCTGTCTTGACGTCTGATCTCTCTGATGTCAGCACAGCCACCCAGGCTTCCGTTAGGTCAGTATCGGCCTATGTATACTTCTGCCACACTTGTATATTATTTTCATCCTCATCCTGAAGCAGTTTTCTTATGTATTAGTGTCCTTTCTTGCAAGCACACAGTTGTAATTTTTAAAAAATCCAGTCTGATAATCTTTTGTCTTTGAATTGGAACATGTATTTTACATTTAATATAATTGGATTAAATTCTAGCCTACGATTTTGCACTTCCTCTATGGCCCATATGTTCTGCTTTCTTTCTTTCTTAGTCCATTTATATTAATTCGTTTCACTCCATTTTCCTCTTTACTAACTATGACATTATGCCTTGTTTTATTGTTTTAGTGGTCATCTCAGAAATTTAAAACATTCAGATTTGCCTAAAGTCTAAAAGTAGCCATAACTCTTGCCCTGGTCAATATAAGAACTTTCTGTGTTATTGCCAACACCCCTATTTATCTTATGGTTTAAATGCTACCGTCGTTTTTAAATTCTACATATTTTAAAAATCCTCATAAGACATTATTACTACTGTTTTACCTATTCACTGTTCATAGATTCGTCCACGTTGTTGCAGTTTTCTTTTCTCTTCATTCTTTTTTTTAAACTCAGATCTTCCATTTGAGATAAGTTTTTTTCTGCCTAAAATACATCTTTTAGAATTTCCTACAGCGTGAGTGTGCTAGTGGCAAATTCAGTTTTTTGATTGTCTGAAAATACTTTGTTTTATGTTTCTTCTTAAAAGATAGCTTCCAGGGTAAATTATTTGAGGTTGACATTCCTTTTTTCTTTCAGAGCTTTTAAATATCATTCTAGTATCTTATGGCTTTCCATACTGCTGAGAAATCCATTGTTCAGGCTAACTGTAGCTCTTTGAAGGTCATTTTTCTTTTTTCCTCTGGTTACTTTCAAGATTTCTCTTTGTCTTTTGCTTTCTGCAGTTTTATTAACAAGAACCTAGGTGTGAATTTCCTCTTAATTATCTTGCTTAGGAATCACTGGACCTCCTGAATATGCAAATTGGTACCTTTCATCAACCATGAGAATTCTCAGCCATTACTGCCTCAAATATTACCTGTACCTCATTCTGTCTTTCATCGCCTTCTGGAACTCTATTTAAAACAATTTTATTTACTAAATACTCATAAAGTACTTTATACAGCTAAATTATCCTTCTAGCAGACACTTTAGGAGGGTTCCATTATTAACTCAATTTTATAGACGAGGAAGACGAGGTAAAAGGAGGTTAAGCCATCTGCTCAAGGGCACACAGCTGGTGAGCAGCAGAGCCAGGTGTAAATGCAGTCCTGGTATCTTGATTTCTCACTGCGCGCTCTATGCCTTTCATACTTCTCTACTGTCCTTTCTTCTTTATTAATGTCCCTGTTGCATTTGGGATACTCCTGGTCTCTCTTCCAAGTCACTAACACTCTCTTCAGGCCTGTTAAAGTTATCCACTGAATTCTTTGGTTATTGTATTGCTCAGTTTTAGAAGTTGTACTTAAAATAAAAAAATCAGATATGCACTTTTTATAGTTCTTTATAACCTGCAATTGTCTTCAAGTTTATCTTTTATTTCTTTAAACAATGTGAGTAGTTAATAATTCTGTGTTAGTAATTCTAACATATGGAGTGTTTGCGTGTCTGCTTTCTGTTATTTACTGTTTCTGCTGGTTTTCTTTGTGTATTTGGATATAGTAATCTTATTCCATAGATATATGGATGTTTCCGCCAGAGGCTTGTACAATCTTATCAATCTGGGACTATTTTAGTGCAAAATTCAAGGCTCAGGGTTCCCTCGATTACTGAGGTGAGACAAGTTTGGGCTAATGACTGTGTGATGCATACACTTTGCTATGGTTCTTCCTTACCCTGAAGCTATGGCCAGAAAGGGTCTTCTACTAGATTACCTATCTTATGTAGGTCCAGGGTTTTAATTTCTGTCCCCAGCACCCTGCAAATTAAATAAAACTGATAGTTCAAGTGTAACAGGATGGACAGATGTTCTCAGGAAAACAGCAGCTTTCTTGGGACAAGAGAAGCTTCCGTGCTTGCTTCTTCACTAGGCTCTCATTTTCCCTTTAATTTTGTTCTTGTGTTTCCTTATTATCATTATTGTTAGCTCATTTTTGCTTCTAAGATTTTTTAAAAAACATTTAACCCGATATTTTTTATTGATTTTAAGTATGTGGGTTGGTTCAAAAGAACTAAACTTTCCATCTTAAATGCTCCTTTTCTGTTTTTTTGCTTTTGTTTTTGTAAAGGAAAGAAACATCACTTTTTTTCCTTTTGAAAGGGCTAATTTTTCACCCATGTTCCTGATCTCATCTCTAAAGCCTAATTCAGAACATTATTTGTCTACAAATACAGTAGATACATCATAACTTAAAAAAATCATTTCTATTCTTCTATCTTCAGGCTCTCTGCTTTCCCTTTATGAACTTAATCCTTCTCTTCCTTTCACTACCAGAGTTCCAGTACAACATTGTAGGTAGATTTGTGAAGTTAGTTGTAAAATAAAAATTAATTAATTAGGGGTAAAAAAGATAATTCTTAATATTAAGAACAAAGCCTATAAAGAGCTTTGGCCTCACACACTTGTACGTCCAGTATTTTGCTTTTAAAGCTGTTTAACACAACAATGACATCTCCTAGGTCTGGTTCAGAGTCAGCTCCTTTGTGCCTAAAAACATAAAAATATGCAAATGTCTATAATAAATACAAGAACAGACATGCAATTATGATAGTATAAATACCTAAATAAATTCATTCTGCAGTAAACGTAAGTATAACAACACTCACGTATATGTTGTATTTGCTGTTTCTATAGTCAATTAAGGTATGCTGCAATACACTGTTTTTGAAATTATCCAATTTTAACTTAATACAAATTAAGACTGTACAAAAGGAACTCACTATATTTGATATCACTTAGTCATTCAGAACGTTCAGATTATTGCTTATCTTTGTTGTTGTATACTAAGATTATCACAAGCCAAATCTTACCTGTTTTATATTGCAGTAATTAAAACACGAAAAATTTTCTAGACTTTAAAACAAGTTGTTCACATAGCACAATCAAAAGAATTCTACACCATACAACTACTTTTCAACATCCATCCGCCATTTTCAAATACCAAAATTTGAAGTGTATTGTTAAAACTTGTAAGACTGAAAATGTGTCTGTGATGTCCATCTGCATTACTTGGATCTATTTTATATTACGCAGTATGTATTTCATTGTCTAATTTTCAAAACTGCATAAATAAATAAAAATGTTTTGATACTATTTTCGCCATGAACTGAAAAATGCCACTGTAAAAAATATTTACCATAAAACTATATTTTGTCAAAAAGGGAAAGCAATCATATGTCACGTTAGTAGATACTTTGCATTCAGTCAGATGCCCAACGTACACTTGAACCTTTTTCTAAAATGAAAATCTGGGGATTCTAGGACCATGTTAACACACGCCTTTGACTCCCACTCTCAGTTCCCCAGATGAGGTGGCTAAGCCACAGGAGGAGGCACAGCCTTGCCCAACATTTACCACTGGAAAATAGAAAGCGTTCCAACTTTCACAGTATGAATGTCAAGTTCCTTAAAAATTTTCAAGAGCCTCCAGTCCCAAATACTGCTCAAGGGCATTGCAACTGTAGCCATCGGAACCACTGTCCACTGAGACCAGGATGCAGCCAGCACAACACTGCAGCTCGACCCACACAAGATCTAAAGCAGCGTTCCTCCATCCCAGGCCGTGGAGGCAGCCGTGATGAAGACTCTTAGTCTCTCTCAGGCACTATTTTAAGCACTTTTAGATATTATTTATATCTCATTTCAGCCAAACTATCCTTTGAGGAAGGTACAGTAATAACCGTAGATCCAAACTAAGCCCAGGTAGTCTGCCTCTGCACAGCTACACTGTTAGACCATTAAAAGTAACGCTAAGCAACTAACAGTAACTGGATACGTGAGGACAGTCAGCAGCTGAAATGAAAGGAACAAGCCAAGAAGTGAGAGGACATGGATTTCACTATGGTAAGAAATTAATACAGGAAAAAGGGGAGCATTCAAATAATTTACATTCCCAATGATATCTGAGAGAATATTTCTCAGGAAAAGTCATTCACTTCAAAATGAAAGGATTCATTGCATGTCAGGAAGCATTACTTAAAAAAAAAAGGACATACATATTTTTTATAGAATTCTAAGTATAAATACTATTTGATTTTTGTAGAGGAAGAAAAAAATCACTGCCTCTCCTTTTGAAATCCAAAACATTGGATGGTAGGAGATGATGATGAAGTCTTGCTTCAAGTATTTTCTGAGGCCAACTATAATGCTATTATCAATATTGATGAAAAGCAAGCAAAAGAAAGGCTAAAAAATTTTCAGGTCTTTAAAATCAAGAATACACCTCTAAGGTTTCTACAAAGAATATTTGTAGAAATGCGGTACATATTATGATATGGCAGGCAACATCCATTCTACCTTTTACTTTATCTGCAGAAGTCAGAAAGTTAAAAGCTTTTTTTTGTCTGTTTTTATTCCTAGGCGCTTTTACAGCTAAAGTTCTGGTTAATAATTAGATTCTGCTAAACAGATACATTTGCATGTGCTCTGGAATTTACAAGTGAGGGAGGGTCAGTGTAGTGATGTCTGCTGAGTTTCTTTGTGCAGGGAAAGTCATGGAGACATAGAGGTGTCTACACCAGGGTTCCAGTGTATAAACTCAGCTTTCTGGGGACAGAGAGCAAGGTGACGTATCGGTAGGAGCAGCCCCATGCTTTCTCACTCCTCTGATCCCGGGGGAGGCAGCAGCTCTCTCTGGCTGGTCAGTTCCTTGGCTGGTCCTGGGAGCCAGCCCTCCTGGGGCACTTGCTCCCCTGACCCTTCCTAGTACAGTCCAAAATCCATTTCCCTGTGTTAACTCCTTCTCTGATACCGGAGTCAGCCACCCAAACGAAAAACGAATGTGAAAGACAAAAGACATATACAAAAACTATGATCAATAGTGTATTTGGTCAGACTTATATTTAACTAATGGTGGTGCGATGGTAAAGAACTACAGGTTTGGGGAGGGGGACTAAAAAGATGGTAAATGGTTCAACGGAGGCACCAGTAAGACAGCTTTCAGGGAAAGGACCGCGCGAGACGAAGGCTGAACAGTGTCTTTGGAGGAAGCTGTTGCCAGGCCTTGAGTCTACACCGCTACACACCCCTGGGCAAGCGTGGGTAGCATTACCTTTTAATACTAAACTCAGTAAAGTAGATGCTTTAAAGGGGAAAGCACTTTGCAATACATTTTTTTCTGAAATTGGGAGACGTAGAGAACTGCATTTAGCTTGTGTCTGGGGAAGTTAAAGTGGACTGTGGACTGATCCTTGAGGACTGACCTACTGTCACTTGAATCCAAGACTGAGTGCTCCTTACTGCCTTGGAGATGGGCTTGAATTCCTAGAGTTTGCTGGCCAAGTGATGTGTCAGTATTTCTCATGGATCATACGTAGCCAAGCAGGAGAGATCTAGTTTTGTTGTTATGGAGTGGTTATGCATCCTGCCAAAATAGCAACATGGAGATACGAGAAGACCTCAGCAAAAATAGGACGTGGGTATAATAACACAGGATGCCCAGAGAACGAGGAAGATGTCAGAGAAGCCAACTGGGACAGAGATGCCCCAAGTGGGACCAGGGAATTAGGAGAGTGAGCTGCAGCAACAGAGACCCTCCAAGAGCACAGAGAAGGGCCCCCGAAAGAGTGAGTGATACTCACTGCCAGGGCCAGAGCGCAAAACTTTGGCTCCTATATAAAGCACAGGAGAAGCAGACCAGTCTCAGAGGTATCAAACTAAAATTATGTACAACTACTAATTAGGTAATCTGTTTTTCTGAGGATTTCAAGAGAAAAGATGAACAAAATAATTTAGCATATTGAAGGCATATATAAAAATATATGTGTGTATGTACAGCATCTGAAAGCCTCTGCAATTAAATTAGGAAAATCTGAAAAGCATTTTCTAATTTTGGTAGAACTACAAAAACTTTCTAGAAGAGAATAACTTTATTGAGTTTTTTTTGAATTCAAGGTAAATAGCAGTCAACACCAAATATGGATGTATGACTGCAGCTAAAGATCACATAAAGATGGACAGATCCAAACAGTACACAAGTGAGGATCATGCCTAACAAGACGGCAAATTTAAAAATACCAAATTATTCAGTCATGGTTTTAAAACTGGACTTAGAAGCTCACGTCAATATTATGTTAGCTTAGCTTCCCTAAATATAAATATAATAACAATTAGAACTAAATCAAAAATTGGGATAAACAATTTCCATTTTTGTCATATTTCATATTAACATGTTTTTCATTACTGATACTTTAATTTCAAAGAAATCAAAGAGTAGCATCATTTATGCTTTTTCTAATCTGGCTGTCTAGTGGCATATTAATCACATTTGGAGTTAAGTAAATTATGACTGAAAGAAATTTATGATTATATTGTTAATAAGAAATACAAACAATTTTGAAATTACTTCTATCACCAAGAATTATCTTACTGTGAATGAGAAAAATTAGTTTTGTACTAAAATGTTAGTGGTACTTAAATATAACATCGAGGGCTATTTTTCCCTAAACCATCCATTTATAGACTGTATATGATACCAAACAATGATAAAGAAGATAAAACAGAACCTCACATAGTGTATTGTTTTGCATGTGACATATTTTATACATATATTACACAATATACATATATAATATCTCAATATATGTAACTGTAACTTGTAAAGGAGGAAGAAAGAATAAGTGGAGAGGAAACGGACATTTACTTAAGACCTGAGACACCGCGTTTTATGAGGATTATCTCATGTAGTCCTTACAAAGAATCCACAAGGCAGGTAGGATTATCCCCTCTTGTTATGAGGAAATAAAGACTCCAAGCGGTAAAGAAACTTATGCAAAGTCAACAGACAGCTGGGGGCAGAGAAGAAATCTGAATAACAGTTTACCTAATCTCAAAGGCGAAAAACAACAGTGAATCAATGGTGGCAGATTTAGAAACACTACGCTCCTGGCAGTATAGTTTGCAAAGACCAAAGAAGATAAAGCAACATTATACCTTGAAACCATGATTTTTATAAGAGTCAATACAAGTGACACAGTATATTATTTTGCTTATCTTCTGTACCACATGTTAGATGTGCTAATAGGTGTGTGACAGTATCTCACTGTGGTTTTAATGTGCATTCTCCTAATAACTAACAATGTTGAGCATCTTTTTATTTGCTTATTTGATATCCATGTATCTTCTTTGGTGATGTGTCTGTTCAAGACTTTTGCATATTTTCTATCAAGTTGTTTTACTGTTGAGTTTTGATAGTTCTTTGTATATTTTAGATATAAATTCTTTGCTGAATATATGCTTTGCAAAGATTGTTTCTCAGTCTGTGCCTTGTCTTTTTGTTTTCTTTTATAATCATTAAATATTCCTGTAGTCTGAATCTCACATATTTTGCAACAGAAATGATATTTAATAAAGTGCTTTCTTAGATCCTGCTTAATACATCATAATATATGATATGTGAACTATATTAACTTTCTAAAATTTAAAAAATTCTATATTCTAAAACACATATAGCCCTAAGAGCTTTAGATGAGAGATTTGTACCTCAGCCCTCTACCTGGAATGTTTTGCCTGTGATATAATTAGTAGTAAGTTCCTGTATTTCTTCAAAACTCTCTCGAGGTACTATCTCATTTCTAATGTCAATACTGCCTTACCCCTCTCTATCACAGAATTAATTATTTCCCACACTCCCTGGCTTCAGACTATATCACAAAGCTATGGTAATAAAAACAATATGGTACTAGCACAGAAACAGACACAAGGTCAGTGGAACAAAAGATTCCAGAAATAAACTCATACACTTATGGCCAATTAATTTATGACAAAGGAGGTAAGAATACACAGTGGAGAAAAGATAGTCTCTTCAAAAAGTGGTTCTGGGAAAACCTGACAGCTACTTGTAAAAGAATGAAATTAGAACATTCTCTAATACCACGTACAAAAACAAACTCAGAATGGATTATAAAGATCTAAATGTAAGACCAGATACTATAAAACACCCAGAGAACAACACAGGCAGAACACTCTTTGACATAAACTGCAGCAGTACTTTTTTGGCTCCACCTCCTAAAGCAAAGGAAACAAATGCAAAAATAAACAAATGAGATCTAATTAAACTTAAAAGCTATTGCACAGAAAAGGAAACCATTGCAAAATGAAAAGAGAACCTACTGAATGGGAGAAGATATCTGTAAGTGGCATGACCAATAAGGGGTTAATGTCCAACATATATAAACCAGCTCATACAACCAACATCAGAAAGCAAACAACCAGATTAAAAAACGGGCAGAAGAACTGAACAGTTTTCCAAAGAGGAAATTTTCGCTGACGGCCAACAGGCACATGACAAGATGCTCAACATCACTAATCATCAGAGAAATGCAAATCAAAATCACAAGGAAACATCACCACATATCTGTTAGAATGGCTATTATCAAAAAGAACACAAATAACAAATATTGGTGAGGATGTGGAGAAAAGGGACTCCACCTACACTACTGGTAGAAATGTAAATGGGTGCAGCCACTGTGCAAATCTGCATGGAGGTTTCTTAAAAAAACTAAAAATAGAACTACTATATGACCCAGCAATTCTACTCCTGGGTATATATCTGAAAGAAACTAATTCAAAAAGATACACGCACCCCAGCATTCACAGCAGCATTATTTACAATTGCCAAAGTATGGAAGCAATCTAAGTGTCCATCAACAGAAAAATGGATAAATAAGATGTGGTATATACACACAACGGAACACTACTCAGACATAAAAAAGAATGAAAATTTTGCCATTTCCAGCAACATGGATGGACTTGGAGGGCATTATGCTAAGTGAAATAAGTCAGACAGAGAAAGACAAGTACTATATGGTATCACTTACATGTGGAATCTAAAAACTACAACAAACTAGTGAACAAAGCAAAAAAGAAGCAGACTCACAGATCTAGAGAACAAACTGGGGGTTACCAGTGGGGAGAGGGAAGGGGGGAGAGCAGCATAGGGTAAGGTGGGGTAAGGAATTTTATGGAATTATATGAAATCATGTGTGTAAAACTTTTGAAAACTGTAAGTTACTACAGAATTTAAAAAATCTTTCATTCAATAAAGAAAAAAAAGATAAAAAAAGAATCATTCCCAACTTTGTACACATAAATTATTAAGCATATTTATTGAGTGGCACTATGTTCTAGGCACTATAAGGAAAAAGAGAAAAAGCATTGAAAAAAAGGTACAAAAACTCCTACCCCTATATTATCTTTGTAGAGCACACTGCTTGTTATAGTAACAGGTGCTTAATAAGTATTTATTGAAATAAATGGAAACTAGAGATATATTCAGGGGTATAAAAAAGACTTTATTAGGTATTGGCAAACTATGGCTGGTGAGTAAAATCAAGCTGGTGGGGCTATTTTTGTATGGCCCCGTGCTAAAAATGATTTTTACGTTAAAAAATGGTTGTTGAAATAATAATATTAACAAAAATCGTATGTGCCCTCAAACATTAAATATTTACTATGGTTCCTTACAGAAAGAGTTTTATGATCCCTGCTTCATGCTAGGCTCATTGATGGGTAGGAAAATTACTCTGAAAGTAACTAACTCTTATTTATAAAAATAAAAAACTGAACATAACTCACAGATAATGGCATTGCTATATAAGATACAATACATACTATATAGTCATTAAATGATAAATATGTTCATTATGCTAACACATGAAAGTCTATAGAAAATATCAAGTAAAGGAGATGGAGCAAAGAACAAGATATATACTTCAGGCATAATATATTTTTGAAATAAAACAAGATGGGAACAAATGTCACAGTTTTATAAGTAGATTTATTTTACAGTAATGGTATTTGTGAAGATTTTAGTTGTTTTGATGGTCTTGGTTATATCACACTGAAAACTTACTTACATGTAAAAATTTTTAAATGGTTTATGTAACTCACCCAATTATTTGATAAATATCTTCAGATTTTCCTTGGCGTAATTTCAATATCCAAGCACCTGGGTTTGCTTTTAACTGAAAATATCCCTTTTAAGATGAGAAAAACATGACAACAGTTATATTACTGAAAATGATATCCATTTGTTCAAGAGAGATTATTCATGAATATTAAAAGGAAGTGTTTACTAACTGTGGAATGAATAATTTCTATAAATGAATTCCAAGGAAGAAGATTTTGCAATAACTTGTAAAAACAGATTCTGAAAGTATGACTCCCTTCATTTTTGTTTTCTTTAATTACCTTATTGAAGGATTTTCTTTTTCTGGCAACTGTTCAGCAACAGTAGGATAAAAATAATTTCATCTTATTGTTAGGAAAACTTAGATGATTTCACCAAGACATTTAATTAAATATCCACTGAGTACGTATAACACTTACGAGGTTGGCCATCACTATGGTGTCAACCACAACAGGCCTGTGCTTTGTGCCCAGTGTGAACTGCAGACCCCGAGGAGCTTGTTCTGTAGTTACGTCGAAGCAATGTCCTTCCAGTAGCAGATGTTCTAGTTCATATTCTGCTGTGACAGCTCTCTCAACCTATGTGGGAAATGTGTCATTGTTTTTGGTGTTAGTAATTCTCATAATGTAAATTTTATAATAAATGTATGTGATTATTTTAACATTAGCCAATATATTTGAGGGGGGAACTTCAAGCCTTTCTTTTAGACGAGTGAACTTAACAGTTGAATCAACTTCCGAACACTAAAGCCCATGATGGATTTTTTTCCTTTCCCGTGACATCCTCTCTACTCCAACCTCGTGAAATAAGCACCAACACCACAAGGAGGAGAGGTGAGCATGGGGCGGGGGTGGCCTGGGAAGCTGCAGCACGCAGAGATCTCTGCAAGACAGACTGAAACAGGAAACTCCTCAAAGAATCCGCATCGTGTGCTGTGCCCTAGAGCTCCCACTTCAGACCTAGCAAGAAAGCCCATTTATCATCATCATCTTTCTTGCAGTTAAAAAAATTAATGGTTAATTGCTTTGCACCAAAAATTAAATATAACTGTAGCTAAATGTAACTGGAGAGCCTTTGATGTGGGCCTAGTAACAAGCTCTGAGAAGCACATCTGAACTCCAGGTAAAAGTCACTGTCTCACTTTTAAGCTTTCGTGGAACCACTTCTGTCACCTTCAGTAATGGCATTAATGCTGGTTGTGCAATAAGCCATTTGAACAAAGTTCTGGTAAGGAAGAATCTTTCTAAATCGAGCTTTCATCAGGTGTTTGTATAATGTCCAGGAATTAGATGTAGCACAGAGAGCTCGCACAAGCTAGCGTGTAGTGACATCTCTCGTTATTAGTTTTAGTTTTTCCCTTTCCCTACAACTCCTTCTTTGTGCTCTGGCAAACATATTTATTTGTTATTTCATATTCTTCTAGGATATTTTCAGGTAATATTCTAAGTACGCATGTAGAACACACAACGGGAGAGAAGAGCCTTAGCAGCAGGTGGCCTCACTGTTACAGCTGCTAGAATTTAGTTTCCTTTTGTTTATTCATATCATCTATGAAGACAGAAGAAATTATTTGTTTATTTTAGCCTTCTAAAATACTGTTCATTTAAATAGCTTCTAAAAAGACATTGCTATATTTGTTACTCACAACGTTTAGTCTCAATTAACTGTTTAATAATAGTGGCTGAACTTTTTTTTACCAGCAGACTCAATTTAAAATCTTCTCCATGGTGCATTAATTAATTCTTCCACCACAACTTTTTACCTTTTTTTAGAACCTTTAAAGTTATTTTATTGATATATATTGTTGGACTCTCTTAATGAAGAATCCAAGAGACTCCTTTTCAGAGATCCAACTAATCATGGAGGAAACAGGATTTTTTTTTTTACTTCATGCCAATTCACTTCTGAATTTTCCCTCATAGATTTTATTATTTTTCTGTCTTCCTATTTTTCCCATAGACTGACTTGAGATGATTGCTGTGACTAAGTTTTAGGCTCTTCTCTGGGTAGGTGAAGCTGGGGGTACGGGTGAGTGTGTTCCAGGGAGGTGACGTAGGATCCCACAGAATCTACACGAGTGAGTCAGAAGAAACCTACCGAGAAGGAAAATCTTTAGACAAAAGGTAACACATGAAAAGCATTGGAAACAAATGATGAACAACCTTAACCCAACTATGAGAGGTAAAATGTGTGTCCCCAGGTCAGGGTAATGGCTGCATTCTGAAGGAGCTATCAAACGCAGAGGGGGAAATAGGTCAGAGGTCGTGCAGAGCCAGGCAAAGGGGAGGACAACGAGAAGGAAGTATTTTCCCTCCGGGTTCTGGATACTTGTTCTCTAGGTAAACTCTCCTAAAATGCTTCTGCTTTTTGCGGTTTCTGAATCCCTTTCCCATTTTGAATAGAATGTTCAGAAAGACTCCATATATTATAAAAGTTTCCTCCCATATCTTTTGTGCTATGGGTTGGACGACAACAGATGGGAAAGAGAAGTCTGGTCATTTACTGAACAAGGGTCAGGCTGGAGGTGGCGGGAAGCAGTGTGCCAGCCTGCAGTATACGTGCAAACTCTTTCCTGCTGTCTACCCTAATTTCATTAGGACTGCTTTCTCTGGCTGTGAGCTATGGGGCAAAAAGTTTCAGGTGAACCTGTTCCTTTCTGAGTTAAAAAAAAGAGAGACCTGAAGGGCAAAGGTACTTAATGGCTTTGTTCTAAGTTGCCACTCAACCATCTCTCTGGTTTCTACACTGTTCATCTTAGGGCAGCATTTGTGAACCAGGAGTCTGGGAAGCAATAAAAAAGGTGAGGGCATCTAAGAACCCAGAGAACTAGAGATGCTGAATTTGGAAGTCAGGGAAACTCAAAAGACGAAGGAGAGACTGGGTTTGGAACTAGAATCTTAAAGGAGAAAATTCTGGTAAGCAGTGGCTTGGCCACTTGGTATGGTTATAGTCGCCCATGAGAATTGATCCTATTCCTCTTTCTTTATATAACTTTATGTAACTTACATCCTTTAAATGAATATTATCAAGGTCACAGTTGCTGCGTACTATTTCAACCAACCAGCCTTCAGGAGTAATCATGTTGAGGGTTAGAAGGGGTGCCTCAGGGATACCCAAGAATTCTGCTGCTGGTCCAACAATGCCATTAGCCGTTAACATCCGTTCCGGTTCCAGAACAAAACGGTAAAAGCTGTTGACAGAACAGAAATAAAATACACACTGTGACCAAAATTGAGATTTCTTCTGTCTAAAATATTTTAAAACTGAGAAAGTTTTAAAAACATGACCACAAAGTCTAAATTAAAAAGAATAAAAACACTATACTAGTTAATGCTTATGTAAATGGTAGACAATCATTATTTTGTTTATACTATTATCTATTCTAAGACTGTGTATATTATACACCCTTGTTAATTATTTCTCAATGAATCTGATTAGAATCTCTTTAACATATACTGATTTATGCAGGTTCCAGCAGTTTACGATCTGTATTAACTCACTGATCCTTCTTCAAATTTGACCATGGTCTATTTTTAGCCATTTCATTAGCTCTCAGTGCCTCTAATAACATGAAGAAAAATGATAATCAGGAAGCAAGTAAACTTTAAGCTAAAATTCTGGTAACAATTTAAAAAGTACAATGAAGAACAAATAGGACTGCGTTGAGGCAGCTGCTTGTTCACAGAGCTTTTAGAAGTACTTGCAATTTTAATGTATCTTAGCCTTATCCCCCAATATCTTATGTAATAAGAAATAGCTGTAATATTAAGAATGGTGACTCTCACTATTTTGAAACTACAGTCAAGGTGTCAACAGTGTTGTGGCTGTCTCAAGGCTTGAGGGGGAAGGATCCACCTCTCAGTTCCTCAAGGGCCGCTGGAGTGAGGGCGGGAGCCCCTCGCTAGTGGTTGGCTGGAGACCGCCCCCAGTCCTCACCACAGGGCACCTCCAGCAAGCTGAGAGAGGCGCACGAGGGCAGGAGAGAGAGAATGCCAGCAATACAAAAGTAACGGTCTTTCACAGCCTGATTGCAGGAGAGACACTGCATCACTTTTGCCATATTCCGTTCATGAGAAGCAAATCACTAGGCGCAGCCCGCGCCCGGGGACGATCTAGAGTGTGAATCCCGGGGGGTGGTGATCACTGGCAGCCCTGTCTGACGTGCCCACGTCAAGCAGGCAGGCAGGCAGGCAGGCAGAGTCAAAAAAGAAGAGAAGTGAGAGGAAACCCGGGACAGAACAGTGCAAACCAGGCCCCTGGTCCTGTCAAATGCAGCAGAAACACCGTCCAGGAGAATCCCATGGACGTGGCCAAGAGCAATTTCTTTGTGATTCAGTACAAACAATTCAGTGGCAAAGAGAAAGTTAAAGCCCTACTTCCCTGGGAGGCACAGGGAGTGAGAGCTGAAGATGGGCAACCACACTTCTGAGAAGCTGAGATGACAGAGTGGAGAGGAGGAGGGAAGCTGTGGCTCCAGAGGAGGGGAAGTGACGGGAACAGTTTACTTCTTTTTCAAACTTGAACAGTAACTCTTAGGACGGAAACAAAAGGACTAGTAGAGAGGCGACATATGGAACAAAGGGACGATGTGATACAGCAAGGATCCACAACAAATGGGAAAGCGCGGGATCCCCTCAACCAAGAGGAAGGAAGGACGGCAATTCTTCCCCCACCACTCGGGACGGCTGGAGAGGTACAGGAGACAGGCGTGAACTGGGGGAATTCCTGCCCAGAACCTCTGTCATCTCTGAGAAGAATGAGACAGTATTCTAAAAGCTAAGGGCTGTGAATTGTAAAAAAAAAACAACAACAAAAAACCAATAAACAGAAACCTCAGTTAAGTAGTGTCAGGAGACCAGACTGGGGAGCACTCACACCTTGTGATGGGTACAGAGCCCAAAAGAAAGAAGACGCCTCTTCCTTCCTGGCAAGGACTCAGCCATGAGAAGCCACGGGCTCTTTACTTACTACAGCCCTCCCAGCTTCCTTTTCCCTCTAGAAAACAGCTATCTTTCCTTTGCCTCATGGGGACTTCTATGTGGTTCATCTTGGTTGCCGACCCTGAATTGCAATTCTCTGCTGATCCTAAATAATCCACCTTTGCTGGAGAAATATCTAGCAGTCTATTTGTCTCAGGTCAACAGAATTAATGTGTCAACTAGTTTGCTTGATACATGCTACTGAGTAAGATTCTGTTGAACTCATGGTTTAAAACTAGCTTGTTAGTTTTTGTCCTGTGCACCATTAGTGACCCCTCAAAGCATCTCTCTGGTACATCAGCTGTTATTTCACCTTAGAGAAGTCAAGTTCCTTTCTTCTTAACAGACTGTGCTGGCTTATGTTCAACATTCTTACTCTTTATCATGTACCCCAAAGCTCTATCCAGATACTGTGGAAAGGGTTCCTACTTGTATGAGTAAAAATTCTGTACTCATGGAGCTAACAGACCTCTTAATTAGTAGCTAACATAAGATGAATTGTTCAGATTTAGCAACATATGTGATAAAATTTGAAATACAAAAGGTAAATAAGAAGTATGAAAAATGAAATATGAGGACGAAAATCTCAGTAGGGAATGAATGTACCCTAAACCTTCATTTAAAATTTCCTCATCTCCTACTTTATTGCTTTCCAAATACTAAAAATACCATGTTTAAAATATCTGCTCAAGGCATTAATCTACAGTATGTTTATCAATTATAACAAGTACTATTCAATAAGTAAACAAGGAATTAGAGGAGGGGGAAGGGTGCAGCTCAGTGGTAGAGCACATGCTTTGTACCACTCCCCAGCGCCTCCTCCAAGAAATTAATAAGTAAACCTAATCACCCCCCAAAATAAATAACAAATAAAAATTAAAAAATAAATAAATTAAAAAAAAGAATTACACAGAGGAAAGCACATTAACAAGCCTTTCTGCCCCTTTACACCTGAGGGAGAGTATATATTACAATCAGTAAGAATGGCTCAAAATGATAGCAGATCTGAGCCACAAAGAACAGGCAGGGTGTTTTGTACTTACTTGAGAGACAGTGTTATTCCAACAGATCAGTATTAATGAGGCACTTTCACATATAACTAAAAATCTTCTATATCATTGAAGGATTATTCTAAACTAATTACATCTCAATACTCCCAAATAATAAATATGATGACATAATAAAGGTCATTTTAATAATTCAGTTCTGAATTACTGAAAGTATAGCTAAATCAAAAATGGTTTCATTCAACCTTATTTCCCATTTGTATATATATATATATATTTTTTAAAGTATTCTTTTCTTGAGTTAGAGTCATTTTACAATGTTGTGTCAAGTTCCAGTGTAGAGCACAATTTTTCAGTTATACATGAACATACATATATTCATTGTCACATTTTTTTTTTGCTGTGAGCTGCCACAAGATCTTGTATATATTTCCCTGTGCTATACAGTATAACCTTGTTTATCTATTCTGCATATGCCTGTCAGTATCTACAAATTTTAAACTCCCAGTCTATCCCTTCCCACCCCCTTGTATATTTTTAAATAGGTATTCTTAGATCACATTTTCAAAAATACCCACAGATGAACATAAATCCGTATAAACTTTGCAATTAGACTGGATCAATTTTACTGATTAGGTTACTTCAATTTTATATCAATTAAGGTTAATAAACTATCTCTGATCTTCTGATCTACTCAGTTAAGCATTCTGTGAAGGAAAAAAAAATGGGTGCAGTAATTATGTTCCTTTTTTTCCTCTTAGCACTTGCAAGTTTTTCAAAATGAAATTATGTTCACATAGACCCACCTCTTTATAGGGGCTTCTGAAAGTTTACCCCTACAGTTCATGAACAACTTTATCTTCATGTTGATAATCTTTCCAAGTACCTATTAGAAAAAAATTCCCACATTTGACATTAATATTAGTAGCTGACATTTACTGAGCATATACTGTGTACCAGGCACTACATTTCCACCTGATATTTGTTATCTTATCTGGTCCTCCCAACATCCTTCTGAGGTACCTACTTTTACAGGCGAGGCACAGAGACATGCAGTAATTTGCCCAAGTCATGGCAGAGGTTAAGACTTCAACCCAGCTGATTTCACTGCCAAAGTGCTATGCTGCCTACATTTGCTTAAAGTGACTTTCTTTCATGGTATCTGAATTTACTTACTATTGCAGAACAAGAATAATTACTATAATCTTGACTTGCAAATATAAAGTGGTCACCTCACAACAATAGTATCAAGGGTGCCCTGATCCTTTTGGAATTTCACCTACACTGTGAGAGATGTAGGAAGTTCTCGGCTACATACAGATAAAATACTCTCTTTTCTTTTTATTTCCCTAGAGCATTGAAGTAGAATTATTAATTCAGTTAGTCCCCACCTCTGTACAGGCAACAAGTCGGTGAAGATCTGAAAGATATTAAGACAAGAAATGACACAGGTAAGAGGAGAAGAATAAAACAAGATACATGGAATGGAAAGGATACAGGTTTGAAGAGAAATCAGAATATACAGACGAAGGGTTTAAGAGCTTTTGAGTTTTAATTCTCATTCTGTCACTCCTCACATTAGCTACAGTGGAGGTTGCTGAGCTATTGTTTCTCCCAAGTGGTAAATAAGACACTATCCCTCTCTTCCAGTAAGTTAATTTATGCCTTTAGCATAAATTTCTAGCATACGTTTTCTCTATAGGAAGATATAGTAAGTTATGTGAAGTTCTGGTTGCTCAGAAATAAAGTATGCTCTTATTACTAATGATGTAAACTGGAATGCAATATAATATTATATATTTCTATATAATCCATATTTCAAGTTCCTAAATTCTATGTTTACATAAAAACTGCATAGGTAAGCAATGTTTTTTTTTCTGAATAATGAATCTCCATAGGCACATGGAATCTGTACACTAAAAAGCATCATACTACTTCCATCCCTTACAGGTATGATTACTGATTTCTGTTTTCTAAATAATATGAATAGTGTACCTGAAGAAGTTAAGATTTGCAGATATACAAATGCTGAAACATAGAATGAGGCAAGTAAGTCAACTATGGAATTAAGTTTTCCCCAGTCATACACTGAACAGGTGGAATGCGCAAGCGGTTTCTAAGGCTTTTGATCCTACTTGTGCACATTAATAAATACATTTATAACATACCTATAAATCCATTTTTCCAATATGATTTCGCAGGGCAAAGTAATTTCTGAGCAAAACTGCACTTGACGTTCTGACAGAAGATACACACTTGTGACCCAGTTTGACCCTTTACAGCTTCACTGTACTTAGTATCTAATTATGTTTGCCTGTTTCCAAAAGTAAACTGTCAAAGGACAAATAGTTTCCACTTCTGAGAATATTTTCTGATGTGTCTTTACAAAAAAAAGGCATTGAGTAACTTCAAACAGGAGTACCCCCAGATTTTGAACATCGCTAGAGAAAAATACTGCCTTCAAATATGACTAGCTTATTCAAATTGAACTACTGAAAGCTGCACCACAATGTGAAGCTTTAATATTTTCAGCACCACGATAAACCACATAATGCTCGTTCAGAGTCCACTGTCTTCTAATATTCACTCTCCTCTATTTTCTTAGTGAAGGATCTTCAGGTTTATGCACAGTGTCCACCCTCCCTTGTGACTAGGTGCAGCCAGCTGGCTGGCGACATTCTGGTCATGGAATGTGACTGGATGGAACATGTCCAGGGCTGTGCCCCTGTCTCCCCCTTCCTGCTGCAAAAACACAGAGAGGATGTGAGGAGCTTCATCTTAGACCACCAGAAAGAAGCTGCTTCATAAGGATGCTGAACGACACAGAAGGTGCCTCAGCCCCTCACACTGCAGAGCTGCCTTAGCAACCCCAGACAGCTCACACATGGATGGTGAGAGGACAGAGAGAAACTGCAGACTTGAAGGTGCTGCTACTTTGGCTTTGTTACTGTGGCCAAACCTACTGAATACAACCTTCATGTTCCTTCTACCAGCTTCACCTGTTTGGCTAACACTACTTATTGGACTCTGAGCTGTTTCTACTAGTTAAGCTTAGACATCAGCATCTCCAGAAGCCATCCTCCACAGCTGGGGAAAGAAAGATGAAGACAGGAAGACACTTGTCCACTCAGGCAGACATAACAAAACACTGCAGACCAAGGGTCCTGAACAACAGAAGTGTATTCATTTCAGGTCAAGGTGCTGGCAGATTCAGTTTCTGGAGAGGGCCCTCTTCCTGGCTTGCAGGTGGCTGCCACACTGCAGTGTCCTCACATGACCTCTTCTTCGCATGTGGAGAGGAGAAAGATCTCTCTCCTCCTCCTCTTCTTCTAAGGCTTTTGATCCTACTGGATTACAGCCCCACTCATCAGACTTCATTTAACCTTAATTTAACCTCAGGGCCCTACTTCCAGTTCCAGACACTGGGGGTTAGGGCTTGAAGATATGAATTTTGGGGTGACTAGGACAATGACTATATCCATATTAGCACCTAACCCTGGCACTGCCACAATGCCTCAGGCACAGCTCTATACTTCACTTTCTACAATGAAATATCACATTCTATTTAAACTATTCTAAGAAATAAAGAACCAAGGGCAAACATTTGATGATACTTCAAAACAGACCTGAAAAGATTAATTATAAATTTCATAATGAAAGCAGTAATCATCTAATATGTGTATAGTATTTAGTAAGACGCAGTCTTGTCTTACGATTAGTAACTGTGCCATCTTCTGTGCTTCTCTTGTCAATGGATCAACAATAGCAATGACATCAAAGACCATATCATCCTCCAGAGAATTTATCTTTATAACGCTAGAAAAATAAAAAATAAGATGAAAGATGAGTTAAGTTTATTCAATTCCTTAATTAATCTTAATCTTAGCAATGTATAGTCTTATTAACTGCTTTCTCTCTCACTCTCTCTCATTAAAAAATCATGGTTATTTCACAAAGAAAACACAAATTTAATAGTTTAATGTTTGTGTTCAACAAATTAGAAAGCTGAAAAGAGAGAAAATAAAAGTGAGATTTATGAATGAGTGATTTTAAAGTCTCTTCAAAGAACAGTGCTATTATAGTGAAAAAAGCTCCGATAAAAGCCTCCTAAATTATAATGGACCACACAATATAAAAAATAAAACAAAGATGCTTTTGTGTTAGTTGAATATATTTTCTCAGATTTGAGAATGATAAAATTATTCAGTTCTTTAATTAAATTTAGTATTATAAAAACCCAATATATTATAACAGGAAAATTAGGGGAAAACACCCCAAATTATCGTATTATTTTGGCCCTAGTCATCCTCTCCATTTTGTCTTTCTCTGATCTAAGTTCTAAGTTGGAAGATGGACTAATCTTTAAAGGAAAATGTTGGGAAAATCATTAAAAGCACATAGAAGGCCAGGAGGAGATAGCCAATTCTATATTTAACACAATGAAAAGTTTAAAGCATATATTTAATTAAAAGTACAGAAGAGTGCAATTGAATTACTGTTTTTAACACTGCAATAACATGTCAGTTTTTTTGGATGTATGAATAAAATATTTTACATATTACAAAGGGAAAAGATTATCAAATCAAAATGTACTCCTGTAAAATCACAGGGATATTAGTCTTCTTTGGGACGGAAAGACTATAAATACCTAGACTTCATGCAGTTGAAAGGATTAATTTCTCAAAAATCAAATAAAAGCTAATGTAAAATTCATTTCAAATATGTGTCTTCTGACACTGAGAGATTAAAGACATTTTATTTTCTATGTAGTTGATATGATTTAATTACGTTAAAATAGGAGTGGTGGGATCAGACAGCAGATCCTGGTGGATAATTCCTAGCTAGAAATAAGAGCTACAAATCAGATGTTTTAAATTGAAGAGACTATCTACAGTGGTTAATTCCTTTAGTTATTTTGGTAAAAATTTTACAAATCACTGTCATAGCACTAGTCAAAACTGCTTTACGAGACATTACTATGGCTAAAAGAGGGAAATGTTTACTGTTACTTTAGGTTTTTCACCCCAACTATTGCCAGTTTTGTGAGGTTCTATGAATCAGAATTCCGTAGTTCCCAACATCTACTCAGTATGCGTGCTGGCTAGGCTGAATGGCATTTTCCAGAATTTCCGTTCCTTCACGTTTTTGGTGGGTGGGCCGCGAGAGAGATGCTCAGAATACCTGGAGGGCAGGAGGGCTAGCAGCCTCTCTGGAGCTCCCACACTCTCACTGATCTGCTTACACTCGTCGTTGGCATGAGGTCCCTGCTGGCTCTACCTTCCCCAAGATCCTCCCTCTGCTCTCTGACTCCCAGGTCATGTGTGTGTTTAGCTTCGTGACAGAGGGCTCCCATCCTCTGCAGGACACCCGCTATGTCCTAAGGCTAGGAGCAACAAAGACCGACACAGGATTCAGTCCATGCTTGTGGGGCTCCAGCTTGCTCCCGATCTCCCCTCTCTACAGCTACCACTCTCCCTTACTGCCTGCCCTGTGAACTTCAAGCTCCAGTATCAGAAGTCAGCAGCCTTACAGGGACTGCTTAACCAGCTCCCACAACTGTGTAAGGTCGAATCCTGTGAGAATTCATTCGTTCATACATGCTCACATATATACCTAAATTGTTATCTATACATTCCCACACGTATACACATAGACGCACACACACATAACAGTGATCTACTGCTCTGACTGACCCTGCTGTACACCCCAGCATGGCTAATGTGCTCTTCTCTACTTTTCCTAGGCTTCCAACACACATAAACGCCAACAAAGTCATTGTTCTGTCAATAAATTAAGGCCTTCAATCAGATTATCGTTAAGTCTTGCTGACCTGGATCCTACATTTAAGGAAGATATTCACACTTGTCCCATGATTAACGTGAGTTGGTTTTATGGTTTCGGGTTCGAGCTCTCATTTCCAAGTTGTGAGACACACCTCATCATTCGTGTAACTACAATATGTTAAATATCTACCGTACTCGAGACGTTAGGCCTGAATCTCATAAATCCCCTGAAGGGTAGGGATCATCATCTATATTTTACAGACTAAGATCTTATTAAAGTGAACTTTTATTGTAACTACACCACATCGTATAATTGTCAATATGTTGATGCACACTGAAAATCTCACTCCTCTACCCCAAAGGATGCAGTATTCTCTGAACTTACTTGACTAGAGAACAGTTTCTTCCTCAGAGTATCTGTCACCATCTCAGAGTAATGTTCCATAGAACACACTCTGGGACATGCTGTTGTCCATGTCTACACTTTATTCATCAGAATTCTTCAGCAACTGAGTCTTTTACACATTGAGAATGTAAAGATATCATTATTTATAATGATTATAGTACAAAAATTCCAAATGATCTTAAGCGTGGAAGAAAGATGAGAATCAGACAACTCATACTCAGTCTGACTTGCCTGGAACTTCATATCCAAGTTCATATCTCACACACACACACACACATATATAGTCTTTTATTTATGTGAATATAATTAACTAAAATTTCTTTTCCTAATCTTGTCAAATACATTTATTCTCTGACAACTTCTAATCCTACTTTAACTTCTACTCTATTATGAATATAAATGGTAACCATAATTGCGTATAGGGTACAGTGACAAAACACACAGCATTAATACATTCTTACCTGTGATTCTCTTTAAGAAATGTGATATCGTACCGAGAGGCAGGTTGAGGCAAAGAGGAAACGAGGGCATCAAATTTCATAACAAAGTCACTCATGCTGGAGAAACAAAATAAACATCGGATGGGTTTTTGGGG